AGTCTCTCTTGCAATATTATCACCTGTCAATTTTATCATAAGCTTTGTTTGTCACTTCAAAATCCCATTTTCCAGCAAAACCATAATCATTACTTTTGGTAAAGAAAAATCTAAAGGAATTAAGAGATCAGAGAAGGATCCACATACCGTTTCGTTTGATCTCTCGACATCATTAGTTAATTCCTCCATGTGTTTGAAAAGTCCTACATTCCATAAAACCTCTCAATACAAATTCTATCTGAAACAAACTCTTTGGCTAGGCTAATATCAACATATGACTTTACCTTCAAATTGACTTCTAAGTTCCGTGTTTTGAGACTTCTGCATTGTAAGCTTTATCGCTAGTTCATGAATCTGCCATACCAGACGAACATAGGAAAGCATCAATTCTTCTTACTCTTTTTCTCAAGGGGAATCATTTTCCTCTATCATACGAATAAATTCCAGACTGAGAATAGAAGAAACTATACCTTTCCTTCAGCAGCTTGGTGTCCAATCTCCTCGTTTTCCTCCTGCAGGGTTTTGCACTTTGCCATAAGCATTTTTCCATTCTTGCTTTGAGGGGTAAAAGTAACTGCTGCAATATTATCCTGGAGTTCCTTGATCTTCTTGTCTTTTTCCTCAGCTAAATTCTGTCGTTAAACATTAGCCAGAAACATGATATCAACTTTCATTCTCTCAGTCTTCATCGCAACAAAAAGAAAGTAAAAAACTTGGGTGTTTTCATCCACAACTGTTTCTACCACCTAAGAGAAGTAAAACAAGTTGAGTTTTTAGCAGGAATCTACTAATGATACAATGGCACCTATAAGTATTTAAGGAGTCATCTTTCATAACTCACAGTGAACTTTGTTTAGTAGCTACAAGTTTGGATTATCTAAGGAATTGTATAATACATTCATATGACATAGTAGTATAAGGGTAAATAGTAGTCAACAGCTGGAAAAGAGTAGGCGCAGACCTTCAGGCGTGAAAATTCTTCATGAATTGCTGGATCCAGTAATAGCCTCCTCGCCTACAAAGTTAAGGCAAGAATAATTTAACGACTCTGCTTTCTGATCTATAGCCATTTATGACGACCTGCTAACTAATGCACTTTAAATGTATAGCCATTTCTTCTACTTCAGACTTCTTAACTATCAGACGCCAGGTAAAGGTTTAATAGAAACATGCCCTTATTATTGTATTCAGACTACCGAGAACTACGGGACTAGGAGAAAGTTTCCCTCTACATGACACTAGGATGACCATCCTCAAATGAATACTATGGCATAAAAAGTGCAGGACTATAGCTAGAAAAGTCCAAGTTGCTTCAACAACTAACTTTTCTGGTTTGTATAGTCCGCCCAATTGTATAACTTCGAAATGAAAATATTAGGAAGAATTGTATACCTGCATTGACGCTGGCTTGAGTTGAGATTTCAAATCGCGAACCGCTGACTAGAAATACAAATCCAAAAACATGTTAAGCGACATTTATTCTATGTGACAGTCAAGAGAACAATGAGAAAGGAAACGAGTGCATCATCAGGAAAACATATGGTAGGCAAAGAGTTGCTTAAATACCTTCAGTTCTGCCATTTCCTGTTCCCGTTTCGCATACTGTACAATGCATGAAGCTTCTTTTCTCTTTGCAATTTCTAACTAAAAAGAAAAAACCATCAAAACCTGTTTGGACAATAAAGACATCCATACATATTGATAATTACACAAATTAAAACTCAATGCCAACCTGTTCTTTCAAAGATCTCTCAGAAGATTTTAGATTCTGGATGTAGTCGATCAAAAATCTAGGTTCTGAAAGAAACAGTACCAAATCAGTTTGGATTGTCAAGGATTAGCATCATATATACAAATACGGAAATCAACATAGCATGGAGAGGCTAACCAGGAGATTTTCCAGCCGGTACGAAGGACTCATTCTGAAAAGCTGATTTCCACTTATTAATCTCTGTTTTCGCTGATTCAAGCTCATTCTGACAAAAGAACAATAATTAGATACACAAAATGCTACCAAACACAGAAACAGATTAGAGGATAGTAAGAATACTTGACATGAAGCAAGATCATCTTTACAATTCTGAAGACTGCCAGACAGAGAGAGAGAGAGCAAAAGAATGTTAGATTTATACATCAAAGCAAACACTTTCTCCTTTCTTATTGACAAAAATTGAGGGCAAGATATCATTTATATTCATAAGCTTCACATCCAAAAACATCAAAAAAAAAAAAGGATTGGATTAAAAAACCTCTCTCGGAGTGACAAAATCATCCCAGTTGCAACACCAGGTGCAGCTTCCTCGGCTTTCGTTCGACCCTGAACAGCGATAAACAACCAATTTCTCATAAACCATACTTCAATCAAGAACACGAGAGAGAGATAAACTAAACAGGGATCAAAGAACAAGTAAGATAAAGTGATGCCAAAACAGCAAAATCACAAGCACTCCGCAAAATACACAGAAAATGATAACATATTTAGAAGGAGCCTATGGCGGAAATCTCATCCTTGATCAAGGAGGTGAGCAAAAAAAACTCAAGTACGATCCAAAAAGTTTCAATGTTTTTATGATCACAAAATGGTACCTTTTTCGATCCGAAGATATCATCTTCATCGTCTTCAATATCACCAAAGCTTCTTTTACTACCTGAAAGAATACGAATGCACTTGATGATAATTCTACTCATAAATCTACCAAAAAAGCATTCAACTTGAGGAATCCATTAATATGAGACCTGAAACTCTGGTTGCATTTGCAGCGGAATAATCACCACCGCCAAAATCGTCGTCTTGTAATGAAAACTCCATTAGAGCAATTTCATAAAAACAANAACCTGAGACTTCTCAAGGGATTGTCGATGGTGTGGAATAACGGAGAAGATGCAGCGGAGTGTGACGAGAGCGACGGCAATTGGGGCTTTAGGGTTTAGTTTTTTTTTTTCGGGGAAGTGAATAACTGGGTCAACCCGGCCACGATCTGGATACGGTTTTGACCTTATTAACATGTGCAATTCTTTTTGCTTTTTCGTT